AGAGGTTTTAATGAAGTTATTACTTAAATTTTTTGACAAGATTAAGGGCCAATTATTCTCCCAATCTTTTTAGGGAAAAATTATCAGAAAACCCAGAAATGGATAGAACTCGCACCATTACAAAATAATTCTCACACTTTTACCAGCATTTAAGACTCAAACTTTCTAAAATTAAAGCAAAAGGCCCAAAAATGAAGCAATCGTATTCGTTCGCAGATAACTTGAGTTTCGCAACCTAATTAAAAAATTGCGAAAAACCAATCAGTCGATGAAGCTAATTGCTAGTCTCGTAAGGGTATCCTAATGCAATCAACAAGTCAAATTACCATATAGTGCAATTTCCGGCAATCTAGACAGGAAAATGCAAATTAAATTCCGACCGCTAAAGCTATTATTCTCTAGAATGAATGTTATCACAAACAGCATGTCAGCTTAGCCCAAGTACAGTATCTTAAGTCAAAAATGCAAAAAATCGATGAATCGATAAAATGGTTATTTTGCATTAAAAATTAGCTCATGTGACGGCTTTGGACTAAAGTGTATGTATGTAAAGTTGGTCCGAAGAGATCGAAGAAAGGAAAATTCGCACTTGAACATGTAAACATACCCGTATACAAATAGACTATATTATACTCTATATATGGAAGGGTGCGGGTTTTCAGGCTTGGCAATTTTTTTTGTAATTCCCAAAGAAACTTGAAAAGTGCCAATTTTTCAGTATATAATTGCTCTTCGCAATGTCCTTATATCATGAATCTTGATTGAACTAAAGGTTCAAGCAAAGAACTTGGTTGTGGTACTTTGTGTAGGTTTACAAAAGTTAAAGTGTTTATTTTCGTCCTTTTTTTTTGTAAATACTTGACGTTCGGAATTTTAGGTTATCAAAGTCATCCAATTATCATAATAACATTTGCGTTTCTCTTCAATTTACCGGTAACTCTGGATGTATGCGGCTCAGTGGGTAGCGCAAATTAAGAGTAATATTAAGCTATGATTATTGCACACATGAAAAAACCAAATTCCCCATATTTTTGGTAACTTGGTTTCCATTTTTTCCACACAGAATTCAACAG